AAAAAAAAAAAAAAAAAAGAATATAAGAGGGATGCTTATAACTCAATGGAATAAGAAAAATGGTTAATGTATCAAAATTTTTCATATTAATAACCCATACAAATTTTTTATCTTTATTAAATTTATTAGTACATATTAGGTATACAACACAGTTACATTCATCATTGGGATCTTGTACCTATTCATGACTTATCTTGGTTCTTATTTTTCCCCATTCCTCAGCCCTCCCCTCAGCTCCTCCAACCCTTCCCTGTTTACAAAGACATTGTTTCTACATTTTTCCTTTTCACAAATGTTTTCCTTTCCTTTTTACCTTTCCCCTACCCCTCCCACTTCCTCTACTCTTTTAGACCTTTCTTCCTGTTACATAGTATCAATTATACATTTTAATCCTTATTTACACTTTTACTTTTTCACACCAGAAAAACTATTCGGTATTTACACAACATTAATTTCACTTAAGAGTATGGCCTCAATGTGCATCCACTTAGCTATAAATCTCTCTGGTTTCTCGTTCTTTATGGCTGAGTAGTACTCCATTTTATTAAAAAAACACATCTTCTTTATCCAGTCTCCAGTTGATGGGCAACTGGGCTGTTTCCAAGTTTTAGCTATTACAAACTGTGCCGCTATAAACATGGGTGAGCATATAAATATCTTTCCCTGAGAGATTGAATCTGTGAGGTGAAAAGGGATAATGAAGGTTCTGAAATGAGTTAGAAATTACAATTTTGCAGCAAGATAAAGACCAGGCAAGACTCAGTCAAAGGCCGTTCAATCAAGTCAGTGCACATTAGCTATGGTAAGCATCAATGCAAAGCTTGCTGCACACAAATCTTATTTGATCAAAATGGAAACCAGAGGTTACAGAGGTCAGACAATGATAAATGCTCCAGAACACAAATAATAAACACAATCTACCAAGTTTCATAAGCCAACATCTTGAAATGCAAAACCCATGTATATTCAGCCAAGGGAGAGATATGTCCCCGGAACCAAAGCAGCCGTACTGTGATGGCACTTGTCACCACTAATTATCAACAAGAAATCAAACATGGCATATGTCAGAGCACAATCAAACACATCTGACTGCTGATCCACAACTGGAAAAGGAGGACAAGAATTTCTCACTGAACACAATATCCCAGTTTGAAGGGTGGCACCTAGGCTCTACCGGGTCCATTCATTTACCTTTATGGAATTCTGGCCATGCATGCTCTCTGTGTGTCATGTGAGACACTGTCCTGGGGAGTACACCAACACGAAGATGAACAAGAGCCTGCTCTACCCTTGAGGCACTTACAGCCAGAGACACACAGACATAAACTCACAGTACAAGGTAAGAAGATGATAAACTGCTTGAGATGAGTACATACAAGATAATAAAAATAAAACTACGTACAAAGAAAATGAATTCTTCAGGGTGATTATAAGAAGGTTTTACTGAGGAGAAAAATCACTGAATAGTAGGTTCACAAAAATTTTCTCAAAAATAAGTAAATGAAGAACAAAAGAGCCTTGTAGTTTTTTTTTTTTTAAATATATCTCTATCTATCAGTTCACCTGCCCATAAAGCAAACAGGTACATTTTGAAATGACAGCACAGAATGTAGTTTTCCAAGTCCTTTACAATTGAGTATAATATCGAAATCAGTGCTGCCCAGATAGCCAACAAAATCTAAACTAAAAAATCAATTTTCATGGAGGATGCTATGGTTTGGATGTGATTTGTCTCTTCCAAAACTCATGCTGAAACAGATCTCCAGTGTAACAGCACTGAGAAGGGGTGGGCTCTATAAGAGATGATTAGGTTCTGGAGGCACTGCCCTCATAACAGGATTAATGCTGCTCTTGTGGGACAGGATTACCTACTGCGGGAGTTGTTACGAAGCAAGACCTCCTACTTTCCTCACGCACTTGCTTGCATGCACATTATGACACAGCACAAGGATCTTGCTAGATGCACCTGCCTGATCTTGGTCTTCCCAGCCTCCAGACCATGAGCTAAAATACGCCTCTGTTATTTATAAATTCCCAGTCTTAGATATTGTGTGATAGCAACAGGAAATAGACTAAGACAAAGAGCTTCCAAAAAGAGAAATAGCCTGCCAGTCTTTTCACCTGCACAGGGTGAAAGAAAAGAGACGCAGAGGTCTCAGTGCCACGCAATATGGTGTTGGCCACCAGAGAATAGCTTTTCTGAATGGCTCCTGGGTACACAACTGTCTTGTTTTCCCAGATGATTTACAAGGAGAAACAACCCACTCTCTCTTTCATTCTCTCAACATTCAAGCTGTTCCTTCTCTAAAAAAGAATCAGTCACGTTTCCTCTTGCCTCTCCTTTCCCTCTATTTGAAACATATACTATTGTTTGTATATTTTCACAAGCTGGATTCGGTCCCATTTTGTAGGAAGATTAAGCCCAAACAGACTGTGGTCTCTTGCAGTTTTTTACAGTCTGCTTTCTTTCTTCTATAGATGAACACACACCTCCCAGGCAGCCCGTCACTAAGGTGCCATGATCACAGTCCTCCCTACGTCTCACCCTTCGCCAGACTGTGAGAGACAAGCAGGT